GCTCGTACGGAGGAGGGGGACTGCACGTGCGGTCCATGCCCGCTCGTGCGGAGGGGGCTGCCGCACGCGCAGCCCAGGTCGAAAAGAATACCTGCTCCGTTTTGCATGCTCGACCCTCTGTTATTTTTACTATATTTCTGATGATCTTTCGATGGTTGTAAACTCATTTGAAGCGTAATGACTCAAGAATTATTTTAACAAGGAAGAAGAAAGCTAATTTGTGAACTTTAAATGTGTACAGGACATACTCTAGGAGGGACTAGCACGTCATCACAACGCTGTGAGTAATAGTACTTTGATGTACCTTTAACCGTTAATAATTATCGTTATTGACGTTATGATTTTCATCGTAAGAATTATGTTGACATGTATGCTATGTAAGAAACATTGTGAAATTATGGAAACACCAAAAGAGGTTGTGAAGTTATGTATGCCATGTGAGAAACATTGTGAAATTATTGAAACATCAAAAGAGTTTGTGAAGTTATGAACCTATGTGGCCAAGGGCCAATTGTGAAATATGAAATGATGAGGCTGAGGGCCAACTTGTGAAGTAAGAATCAGTAACTTGTGAAACTATGAATCTCAGAGGCCGGGGGTCAATTTGTGAAGTTGTGCATCAAAGTTGTGAAACTAAAAGGCCAAGGGCTCATTTGTGAATGTGTGAACTCTTCAGGCCCAATGCCAAACTGTGAAGTTGTGCACCGACAACATTGTCCTGTTTGCCCGAACGGAATCAGACTACTACATGATTTCTGTATTGCTACACTTTTATGTGTGTTACATTTTTAATTAAGTAACTGATGCATTTAAGTACTATTGTTCACTGAGCCTGGCTCACTTTATGTTATGCCTGTTTCTGTAGGTAATCAATTAGGAGGTCGGTCCTAAGCCGGCAACGTCACCTTTTTGTTAAACTAAGCGTAGCCAGGCTGGGGTCAAAACCTTAAATTTTTGGTGGTGTTTTGTTAAGTTATGGCTTGCACCTTAGTTATTGGCTTAGAATGAGATGTACATAATGTTTTGCTATACGCCCAACCATGGGGCAAGTTCTGTATATGTGTCTGTATATGTGTATGTATATGGCTATAACTAGCTCTCACATATGTACCTCTCTATGTCTATTCATTTTATACTACGTCTGTGATCCTGGCATGGTAATAGTAGCTCAATGGACGTCATACTTTCTCATATATTGTTCTATAATGTCAAGGCTTCCGTACAGGCCCCTAAAATATATATATATATATATCAGGTTAAGTGTCTACTTTTGTGTAGGTCATGCCCAAACTTTTAGGGGCGAGTTAGGGGTGTGACAAGTGGTATCAGGGCACGAGTTGCTATCTCACACACGGATCCATTGAGCTTAGGGTGTCTAGAAAAGCTTTAGGCATCTTGTATGACATCCTAAAAGTATATGAAAGAGCTATGGCAACGTTAAGTGTACTTTGATAATGCTAACAACTTTGAATTATGTTTCTTGTATATAATTGATTGTTGTGTAGGAAATGGTGAGAACAAGGACAGAAGATGCGGAAGATGCTACTTCTGCACGGTTGGATAGGATGGAGAGAATGATTATGGAAATGGCGGAGACCCTACGACAACAACAGCAACAGCCACAACAATAACAACAGCCACCAGAACTACCGCCACCACCACCGGTACCTCCACCGGCAGTACCAGATTTTCATGCTGAAGACCGAACCATCACCCTTACTAAAGAGTTTGAAAAGATGAAACCGCCAGTCTTTAAAGGAGGCATAGAACCAATGAAAGCTAAAGCATGGGTGTTGGGAATCGAGAAACTATTCGAAGTTTTCCCTTGTACAGAAGCTCAAAAAGTGCAATTGGCTGCTTTTACTCTTGAGGATGAGGGGCGGAGATGGTGGATGCTCACAAGGATCATACACCCAGGATTAACATGGGATAGATTTCTAGAATTGTTCTACGACAAGTATTTTCCCCAAAGCATGCGAGATAAGAAGGTGACTGAATTTGAAACTCTCAAACAAGGGAACAAGACTGTTGCTGAATATGAAGCCCAATTTGCTGAACTAGCTCGGTTTGCGCCTCATATGGTGGATACGGATTATAAGAAGGCACGGAAATTTGAAGGGGGCTTACAGGGTGCTATCCTAGACCGGGTCAATATGTTAAAGCTACCTACTTATGTCGATGTGCTAGAAAGGGCCGTTATAGCAGAAGGGAATCTTGCTGCTCAGAATCGAATTTCCGAGTGGAAAGGGAAGAGGCAGAATAATCAATGGTCAAAGGATCAGTTACCCCACCAAACAAGAAGCAGAATTCAGGGAACTTCAGCATCACCACCCCTACCCACAACTCCACTCCGGTGTGTCCAGATTGTGGGAGGCAACATCGAGGGACGTGCCACTGGAAGACTGGAGCTTGTTTTAAATGTGGCAAAACGGGTCATCTGGTAAGGGATTGCCCGCAATGGACTCAACAAAAGGGCAATAGGACTGCTACAAGTTCTGCGGGGTCTACACCAACCCCCAACACCAAACCAGCTGCCAAGCCTGTTAACAATAAAGACACCGCAAGACAAGGTAGGGTATTCGCATTGGTTCCAGGGGATATGCACAATGCTGCAACCGTGGTGTCAGGTACATCTATTGTTTATGGTCACTCTGCTCATGTCTTATTTGATTCTGGCTCTACCCATTCCTATGTGTCAAAAGTATTTACTCAAAATTTAGATGGATTTGTGGAAGTATTACCTTATGTGTTATGTGTATTCTCACCTTTGGGGAATTCTATGATCTGCACTTTTGTATATGTTGCTTGTGAACTCCAAATTGGGGATATCCGGGTACGTGGGAATCTGTTACCTCTTGAAGTGAATTACTTTGATATTATTCTGGGTATGGACTGGTTGGGTGAATATGGTGCAACTATAGACTGCTCGACTAAGCAAATCAGTTTTCACCCTCTGGGACAATCAGAGTCTATTTTTCAGGGACAGGAAGTAACTTCTCCACCTTATTTGATTTCCGCAGCCAAGGCCTGTAAGTTAATTCAGAAAGGATGTCAGGGATATTTATACAGTGTTTTGGAAGGGCAAGTGATGAATGGAAATACTGATGTGATTCAAGTTATTCGTGAATTTCTGGATGTGTTTCCGGAAGAATTGCCAGGGTAGTTAATAGATCGTGAAATTGAGTTTACAATTGAAGTGGTGCCTGGAACGCAACCTATTTCTAAGACTCCGTATAGGATGTCACCAGTTGAAATAAAAGAATTAAAGATTCAGTTACAGGATTTGCTTGATAAGGGATTTATCGGTCCGAGTGTGTCTCCTTGGGGTGCACCAGTTCGGTTTGTGAAAAAGAAGGATGGAACACTCCATTTGTGTATTGATTATAGGGAACTCAATAAGGTAACGATAAAAAATAAGTACCCATTGCCACGGATCGATGATTTATTTGACCAATTACAAGGGGCACAGGTCTTTTCTAAAATTGATCTACGGTCGGGATACCATCAATTGAAGGTCAAAGTTGATGATGTGGAGAAAACAGCTTTTCGCACCCAGTATGGTCATTTTGAATTTCTGGTTATGCCCTTTGGAGTTACTAACGAACCGGCAGCATTTATGGATCTAATGAATCGTGTTTTTAAGCTGTATCTGGACGAGTTTGTAGTAGTCTTTATAGATGATATCCTTATATACTCAGAGTGCAGAGGCTCATGAGAATCATCTTCGTTTAATCCTTCAAACACTTCGAGAAAAGAAGTTATACGCAAAATTAAAGAAATATGAATTCTGGCTACATGAAGTAGCATTTCTGGGGCATGTAATAACAAAGGATGGAGTCTCTGTAGATCTACACAAAATTAAGGCGATCGTGAATTGGCCAACTCCTACCAACGTGACTGAGGTACGCAATTTTATGGGATTAGCCGGTTATTACAAGAGGTTTGTTCAAGACTTTTCCAAAATCGTTGTGCCGTTTACATAATTAACTCGAAAGGGAATTGCATTTGAATGGTCAGAAAAGCAGGAATTTGCTTTCCAGGAGTTGAAAACAAAGTTGACTACATCACCAATTCTGGCCTTACCATCCGGCACCAAAGGGTTTGTAATCTACAGTGATGCTTCGCATAAAGGGCTTGGTTGTGTACTTATGCACAATGGAAGAGTTATTGCTTATGCATCTCGACAGTTGAAACCCCATGAAAAGAATTATCTCACACACGACCTTGAGCTAGCCGTAGTAGTTTTTGTTTTGAAGATATGGCGGCATTATTTGTATGGCACTACTTGCGACGTTTATACCGATCACAAAAGTCTCAAGTACCTTTTTACTCAAAAAGAGTTGAATATGCGACAACGGCGCTGGTTGGAGTTGCTTAAAGACTATGATTTGCAGATCCATTGCCATCCTGGTAAAGCCAACACGGTTGCAGATGCACTTAGTTGGAAACATATGGGAGATTTGACAAACCTATTGACGGAGCAAAAGAAATTGGTGATTGATTTGGAGAAAATGAATATGAATCTTGTGGTACGTGGACAGGAGGCCGTAATAGCAGCAGTAATGGCTCAACCAACTTTACTTGAAGAGATCAAATTACATCAAATGGAGGATGAAACTCTAAGGAAGATATGTGATGAGTTGGAGACAAAACCAAAACCGGGGTTCAGTTTAATGGATTCAGTGCTCAAGTTTCAAAACAGAATATGTGTCTCCAATGTATTGGAACTTAAGCGAAAATTGATGGAAGAAGCACATGCCTCGAGATTTTCAATGCATCCGGGAAGTACTAAAATGTACCGGAATTTGAACCAAAAATTTTGGTGGCCTAGTATGAAAAAGGAGATCGCGGAATTCGTTTCTAAGTGTTTACAATGTCAGCAAGTAAAAGCAGAACATCAAAGACCAGCAGGATTACTGCAACCCCTTCCAATCTCAGAATAGAAGTGGGAACATTTGACCATGGATTTTGTTGTGGGGTTACCACGGACCCCTTGAGGTATGAATTCGATATGGGTCATTGTAGACCGATTAACTAAATCTGCTCACTTCCTACCAGTGAAGACTCAATATAATGCAGATAAACTCGCAATACTTTATGTGAATGAAATTGTAAGGCTTGATGGTGTTCCGATTTCGATTATGTCGGATAGAGCTCCCAAGTTTGTTTCAAGATTTTGGCAAAGTCTGCAAGAAGCTATGGGTACAGAACTCAAGTTCAGCATAGCTTTTCACCCTCAGGCCGACGGTCAATCCGAGAGAACGATACAAACTCTGGAAGATATGCTCCGAATGTGTGTGCTAGATTTTCAAGAAAGTTGGGAAACCCATCTACCGTTGGTAGAGTTTGCATACAACAATAGTTACCATTCGAGTGTTGAGATGGCACCTTATGAAGCTTTATATGGAAGACTGTGTCGTTCCCCCATGTGTTGGGCCGAAGTTGGGGATAGATCATTGCTAGGGCCTGAAATTGTGCAATTGACAACTGAAAGGGTTAAAATTATCCGGGAAAGATTGAAAATGGCTCAAAGCAGGCAGAAGAGTTATGCGGATAACCGACGAAGGGATTTGGAATTTGAAGTGAATAGTCATGTGTTCGTGAAAGTCACCTCACTGAAAGGACATCCGAGATTTGGAAAAAGGGGTAAGTTAACACCCCGATATGTTGGTCCCTTTCAAATTCTGG